AAGAACAGACAGAACCTGGTCCAATGATGGATTCAACTCTTTATTTTCCAAAAATAACCCTTCCATCTATTGAAATGGAAAAATGAAGATTAAAATAACCAAAATAATTATTATCTGATATGGGTCCGAACAAACCAGGCAAACTGGTTAGAGGTAAAAATAAAACTTGACCTAAAATGAAATGAATCACTGGCTGGAGAAACTTTGGTTTCACAGTGTAAACTTCCCGCTTTCATACTTGGACACGATTAGCAAAGATGGCTGTGACTCACATCTGAGCACGTGCAGAAGATGACGCTGTGAGTGATGTCATCACCTCATAATAAAGGTGCAAATAACCAAACGAAGACCAAAAGAGGAAAGCAGCAAGAAAGACGGCTTCAGCGGACATAAGAGAAACTTTTAAGTGTTGGACTGCTTCAGCATCGCAACTGTTTTAAAGTCCTCCTGATCAGATCAAAAAGGTTTTGTTTATTCATTCATCCTCTAAACAAAACAATCAACCAAAACATTTTAATCAAAGTTTAACTTGTTTAGAAGGTGGATTATTCTTTACCCATAACTGGTCCCAATCAAATATCACCTTAAACCAGATATAAAGAGGCCATCACATAAATAGCCAGGAGTAAAACTGGAAGATCAAACAAGTCAACGATCCAAACCAGAACTAGCTATCATGTTAGCCCGACCCAATGCAACTAGCTAACTGATCCACCATGAGACAGCAGAGCACATCAGAAACCCCTTTACTGCTTCCACGAGGTGATCCAACTCAGACTGGAGTCAATGTTCAAAGTGCTGACGGACCTTCCTTCCTGTTCCTCCCAATCGCAACAAGTCCAACACCGTAGAGCTACAGCTATCGATAACCATGAACTCCAGAGCCCAGCATTCCTGAGCCAGAACCCGTCACAGAGGTCCACAGGTCTGTTGAGTCGGATGATATGTAATGGAACTTATCAGAAAGTAAGTCACACTGTCAGTTTCACTTACATTTTCAAGCATTCAGCATGCCGAGTTGAGTTAAGGATGATTTATACTTTGACACTAGGTCGTCTGTGTGTGTCGCAGTGAACGCAGGGACGTCCCTGCCCCCTCTGCAGACACTCTGCTGCACCTCTCCCAAATTGTAGGTGACCGCAGACAGTGCCGCGGACAGGAGGCCTCTCGTTGGTCAAATCTACATCCACTCTACTCATACCTGTGTGGTTTGGTACCTTACTGGCTTGTTTTGTTTGTATGACCGCCACTGTGTAAAAAACGATTCGTGAAGATGGACCAGCTAGAAGAGCGGTGCACAGGACGCTGGGACCCTTTTTCCATCTGGATCCCCGCTCTTTTTGTCCTTCATGTCCCTCCGTTATCACACAACCTAGCCTCCACCTCATCGTCGCCTCGGCCGTATCTAGACCCACAGCTAGTTCGTGATCTTCCCTCTTGCGTTGTGGCGTGGAATAACATAGCGCAGACCACGCTTCAATATTGGGCATAAATCAAAAATACCTGCAACAAATTGCATAGGGTGGCCACGACTGTGGCCAACCCACTGACCACCCCAAATGGCCAGGTTAAATTGTAGAAGCATCAGTTTAGCATTTCATCCCATTCTGCATAGCCAGCGACGTAACATTAAAAATCACACAATAAACCAAGATATGAGTAGGTTTTTACTTAAGTCTTTATGATTTCTACAGGCAAGTTTACCACAATAGTAGATTCAAAACCTGAGATTATGACTTTTAGTTTCAGTGGCCACCCCAAGATTTTTAGTGGCCCCATCTGACCCCCGTGAATCCTTTCTGGAGGCGCCACTGATTTCTGCACCTGTTTACAGGTATATTGTTTCACAGTGAAGAATCCACTTTCAGTTCTCTGGGTCAGTTTTTTTTTTTTTATTATAAATAAATGAAATACATTAAAAATTAATAGTTTATTTGGCTGAATTATCATTTAGTAAATTTTATTATTTCTTTTTTTTTATTGCTAGTGTGAGTTTATCCTTTTCTTTACTGGGAGGCAGGGGCGGATCTAGAAAAATATTTATGGGGTGGCAAGAGGGGGGCAGGAATTTTTTAGGGGTGGCAACATATGGCATTTGTTTACACTGAATTTAACCACAGTTATCATAGTTTGGTGAGAATAGTATGTACAGTACTAGTGTTTCATGTGAAACAGTTCATATTAATAATACATCGTACAATGTGATCTCACTTAATAGGAGATAGAAGAATGATAACACTACTTCTAGAGGGGCATTATGACAGGAAAGGTATTAAGGTAAGACACAGGCGCTGAGTCACAGATGTGTGAGATTGACTGTCAGAGAGGCAGCTTTGCAGCATTTGCACAAGAAGAAACTATAGAAAGAAAAAGTTACTGATCAGAGATCTATGGACTGAGCTGGACTAAAGTGAGCAGAACTACACAGTAGCAATAAATGGGTCAAGGCACCCAAACAAGGTACTGGACATCTATGTAATGTTTACTCTGAACACAGATTCACCCCATTTGTTCCTCAGTAACTTGACATACAGCAGTTAAGGCAACATGAAAGGGACATTTCATGCATGTAAATATGCTGTAAATAGAGCTGTATATCGAGGACTAACTCTGCCATATTTAAAAATAAATACAGAAATAAATAAATGCTCAATAAATAAATAAGCATACAATTAATTGCCACCAAAAATACAATCAACAAATAAATGTAATTAGAAATTATATTATAATGGCAGGCAGAAATGTTAAAAGGGCAGGCAGAAAGAAATAGCGGCGAAGAAATAACTAGGGTAAAAAATACAAAGGAAGAATAAAACAGACAAAAATATGATAACATGCACATTAATAAATACTTAAAAATATAAGTAATTAAAAAATGAAGTTGAAGATAATAAATGACAAAAAAATAAATAAGGTAAATATTAAAAAGGCAAAGAAATAAAGAAGCAAATTAAAAGAGTTATATACCTTTATGACTAGCTGTATAATTTAATTTCTACTTACATTTATTTGTTGTTTGTATTTTTGGTGGCAATTAATTGTATGCTTATTTATTTATTAAGCATTTATTTATTTCTGTATTTATTTTTAAATATCCATCTGGATCCCCGCTCTTTTTGTCCTTCATGTCCCTCCGTTATCACACAACCTAGCCTCCACCTCATCGTCGCCTCGGCCGTATCTAGACCCACAGCTAGTTCGTGATCTTCCCTCTTGCGTTGTGGCGTGGAATAACATAGCGCAGACCACGCTTCAATATTGGGCATAAATCAAAAATACCTGCAACAAGCTAACTACGACACACTGCTGCGGGAGGATAACCAACTCTTTAATCTTCATCAATGCAGACTGAGCACCAGTTTATCTAGAGCAGTGGTCTCTAATGCCACTCCTTGTAGGCCAGTTTCCTTCAACCTGTAGATGCATCCTTGCTTCAACACACCTGACTCCAATTTGAGCTAGCTTAGCCATTTGATTCAGGTGTTTAGGGAAAGGGACACATCTAAAAATTGGACACCAGGCCTCGAGGATTGGAGTTTAAGACCACTGGCATATCTTGAGGTTATATTTGGTATTATTGGCTCTGCTCCAATGCATGGCTATATTCCGCTGCAGAGGTGCCCGTGTTTGTTTAAGCATGACGTGTTCGAGCTGCAAGGCTGATGTAATCGACGCGTCCAAAACCACAGCCTGTTTATGTGGTGATCTGATGGTGTTGTCTATTGTTGCTGTTTCAGGATGAAAATGTCTAATAGCATCTGATCTTCCTATGCCACAGATTGGCAGTGTCCTGTTTCAGGGGAAGCCAAAGGTTAACCTCAAAGCCACTTTAAGGTTCAGGTTCCACAGACGATTCAAATGGCCAAAACCTTTTTCAGGAGACACCGTCAGGAAAGGACCAAGACGTGTTCAGCGTGGCTTGGGGTGTTTTATACACACGAATCCAACCAGACTGGATCAGACGAAGACATACAACTGATCCATGATCCCATCCACCTGTGGAGCATCAGGTGTTTTGGTATCACTCAACTGTCTCCTGAAACAACATAATCGTTACAGGTCTGAGAGCTTCAAGTCCAGGGTCTACAACTCTTACACCACCTCAGGATCCATTGACTCGTGTCAACAGGTGGATCCCTCATTCCAGACTTAGTGAGGACTCATTGAATTTAAACCATTGAAAGGTTTTAAACCCTTTGGGGTTCAATTCATTGAAAGTTTGGAGAACCACCCTAGTTTTCAACTTTGTGTCTCTGTTGTTACTGTCCTAGTTAAAGAATTGGTTGAGATGATGCTTAGCCTCTGCTCTGTTGTTTCTCTTCATATTTCTCTGCTCATAGCTTTGGCTTAAAGGAACCAGCTGATAGACGTCCCCATTGAAAACAGTTGAAGTATAACAAGCTCTTCCTCTTCTCCTGCAGTTCCTGATTTTTTCTCTCAGCCTCGAATTTCCTGGACTCCTGCTTCTCCGCTCTCCAATGTTTCATTAAATAAACGATCTCATGTTGAACGGTGAAAAAAGTTCAAGTTGCAGAGTTTAGAGAGGGGTTTCTGAGGTTCTGATGGTGAAAAGGTTAAAAGGAGAAGTGAGAAACACACACACACACACAGTCAGGGAGTGGTCCCTCTCCATCTCCAGTTTCCTGCTTAGAAACAATCGCAAACAAACAATCTGATTATTGATCGGGCGGAGGAGGAGGACGGATCCATCAGCTGGACAGAACCAGAGGTCAATTCATAGTTTGGATGACAGGGGGGGGGGGGGACACACCCGCAGAAAGCAGCATGAAACACAACAACAAGATACACAGGCAGAGTCCGGTCTAATGGAGCTGCAGACTGAACTCGGACAGACTCACCGCTCATTAGTCCTCCTCTCTAGGCTTTCAGCGCTGCTCCGTCCTGCTGCGGGTGGAGGAGTGTGTCAGGGTGTGTGTGTGTGTCTGTATCACTGTGACAGGGTGGGTGGGGGTTAAGAGGAGGAGGAAGTCCGAGGGGAAGTGGTGGAGTTACAGTTTGAGGAAGTTTCAATATGTGTGTGTGTGTGAGTTGAGAAACATTAGAAATAAAGTGTGTGAGGTGGATTACTGATAATGACTTCAGACTGACAGTTAAGCCCCGCCCACCCCTCTCTGATGGACAGGTGGGGAGAACAGGTGTGTCTGTGTGCATCAAAGGCCTTCATGCATCCGTATACTGCTCGTTTGTTTTCCGTAATGTAATTTTTCTGTTCCTTGTTGATTTTTCATGCTTTAGTTTCTTTCTTATTTGTTTAGTTTTTATTTTTGTGATTTTTTTTGGTGAATAGGAGCTGATTTATTAGCTATTTTTCTCTTAGAGCTGATTTGAGTCTGTATTAAACTTCTGTTTGATTAATTTTGTGTTTTGAGTGAGGTTTTTGTGTGTTTTACATATATTTTTTTCAAACTTTGGTGGCATTGTTATGTATTTTTTTTATGTGTCTGGGGTTAAATTTAAACGCAGGTTTCCTGTGTCTGTGGTTCTGCTCTAGTGGACGAGGTTTATCTGTAGCACCTTAGTGGTTACATTTTCTGTTTTTTTGTTAATGGATGATTCTACTTATGGTTTATTTTTAAATCGCACTGCAGTCATGTTCTGCTTTTTTTGTGCTTTTTGTTCCTTTAAGTTCTGGTGCTTGTTTCCTGCCTTCATCTCGTCTTGCCGCTGCTCCTCTTCCTCTCTCGGTGATCTGAAAATGAAAGCTCAGATGGTTAGCTTAGCATCTAAAGGAAGCAAAGGGAAACTGTTAGCATCGCTACATCCTATGACAACTGTCCAGATGTGATACTAAGATTTTTTTTTTTTTGTCTAAACATGTAGGCCTCTTGCAATAACACACGCAGCGGGAAAAAAAGTTTTCAAAACAGAAAAGTTTTTAAGATAAATTTCTGAGTTTGATCTTCCACTAGTTCGGAGTTCCTGTCTGCACCTCTTCTGATTGGCCAGAAGGTGGCACCGTGACAACATGTTTGGATAATGCTGCCTTTGCGTACAGTGGGAAATTAGAGAAGATGCGGTTTTTCCTCTGAAATTCCTCTGAAGTTTAAGAAGCTTTTAATAAGCAATATAATGCTGACTACATTTTTATTGTAAATAAAACAAACGGGACATATCAAAATTACTTTAAGTTATTTTTAGTAAATTCATTTTTAACCTCATATTATTAATTCCCTCCCCTCATTCTCTGCCCTCCAGTTCAGTGAATGCAACCGTTAAATCTCCCCAATTTAAAAGAAACCATCTTACAAATTTAACTCACTAAAATGTGAAATTAATTATCTCAACGTCTCCTAAAAGATAAAAAAAAAAATAAATATTAAACGTTAATGATGATGATCTCATACTTGCTGTCGTTAAATTCGCCCCCTCTGTTTCACTTTGAAACGGGAACCTATTCTGTGTTCCTCCCAATTCGGAGCATTTCCCGGGCAATAGAACGCATCACGGGCGGATCTTCTGACTTTTTTTTTCTCTTTCAGCCTCAGTTTTTCGCTCCTCTGAGCTGCTGCGGATCAGACTCTGATCGATCAGCTGCTGACCCAGTTGGACCGGACCGATGGAGTAAAGGAGCAGCTCAGCTGAGGTGGGTGAAGATGAACAGTCTGAATGTGGTGACGATGATGATGGTGAATTTGGTGGGAAAGTGAACAGCTGTTTGACCTCTGACCTCTAACAAACTTTTCTAGGAAAGCAGCAGATGGTAGATGATAGGTACCGATTCATTGGTTTATCCTGTTGCTCTCTGGTTTTAAGGTTCTGATGGTCTTTCTGGACCATAAACTCTTCCTTGGTATCCAGGAAGCTTGATTTCATTTTGCTGACAGTCCTGCATTTCAGGTTTAGCTCCTCCAGGATGAAGATTTCCTTTCCTTCTTACTCTGAGGAGATGAGCAGTGAGGAGGTCCGGACCCTACGGGTTTAATCGGTCCAACTGTTGGATGCGGGTCAGAACCCATACCCTCCTCTTCTTCAACCAAACATTAGGAGTCTGGTTTCTGGTGACCCAGAGCTGGACTTTCTTGGAGAAGATCTGATGTTAAAGGCAGCAGATGTTCCCCCAAAACGGATCGGCCCTGGGGGGCCACTGTCTTTCAAGTTTAAAGATTTCACAGCTTCAACTCAGCTGGTTATGATGGTTGAAGTTCAGCAGAAGCCTGTGGATCTGGTATTGATGGAAATCAGCTGAGCTGAAGCGGGAAAACATCCAACACCTGCTGGAGAGTGGCCCTCAGGGGCCAACATAAGGGCAGGACAGAGGCCCCCGGGGGCCGACTTTAGGCAGGGCAGTGCTCCTCACTCCTTAGGGGCCCACTTTAGGCAGGACAGCGCTCCTAACTTTTTGGGGGCCGACTTTAGGCAAGACAGCGGCCCTTGGGGGCTGACTTTAGGCAGGGCAGTGCTCCTTGCTCCTCGGGGGCCGACTTAAGGCAGGACAGCGCTCCTCACTCCTTAGGGGCCCACTTTAGGCAGGACAGCGCTCCTAACTTTTTGGGGGCCGACTTTAGGCAAGACAGCGGCCCTTGGGGGCTGACTTTAGGCAGGGCAGTGCTCCTTGCTCCTCGGGGGCCGACTTAAGGCAGGACAGCGCTCCTCACTCCTTAGGGGCCCACTTTAGGCAGGACAGCGCTCCTAACTTTTTGGGGGCCGACTTTAGGCAGGACAGCGGCCCTTGGGGGCTGACTTTAGGCAGGACAGCGCTCGTCGCTCCTCGGGAGCCGACATTAGGCAGGACAGAGGCCCCGGGGGGCCGACATTAGGCAGGACAGTGCTCCTCACTCCTCAGGGGCTGACTTTAAGCAGGACAGCGGCCCTTGGGGGCCGACTTTAGGCAGGACAGTGCTCCTCACTCCTCAGGGGCTGACATTAGGCAGGACAGCGGCCCTTGGGGGCCGACTTTGGGCAGGACAGTGCTCCTCGCTCCTCGGGGGCCGACATTAGGCAGGACAGCGGCCCTTGGGGGCCGACTTTAGGCAGGACAGTGCTCCTCACTCCTCAGGGGCTGACTTTAGGAAGGACAGCGGCCCTTGGGGGCCAACTTTTGGCAGGACAGTGCTCCTCGCTCCTAAGGGGCTGACTTTAGGCAGGACAGCAGCCCTTGGGGGCCGACTTTAGGCAGGACAGTGCTCCTCGCTCCTCGGGGGCCGACATTAGGCAGCGCAGAGGCCCCAGGGGGCCGACTTTAGGCAGGACAGCGGCCCTCGCAAGCTGTACTGCTTCAGAACCAATAGGACCTTCCTCAGAAACCTGCCCCACATCCTCTGGCTTGCTTCAACATCTTTTATTTTGAAAGGTCTAACAGAGCTTCCTCTCTGTCCTCAGGTATGGAGTGTGTGTGGTTGGTGTGTGTGAGCGTGCTCAGTTTGTGTGTGAGGGCTCACAGCGGATTGGACGAGAGTGACCACACCCACCATGACCCCCAGCATCAGCATCTTGTTACCAACGGCAACATGGCTTCAGGTAAAATGATCCTCGTTAGTGTCTCAGATGTTTGGACCAGACAGCCTGCAGTAAGACCCAACTATCAAAGATTTTCACCTGTGACCCAGACAGCAGAACCAAGAAGCTGGCTTCAACCAACACCAGCCAGTACCACCAGTCCTGTACTGGTATCCAGTTTAGCAGAAATATGGTTGGTGATCGGTACCAAATGCCACCAGCTGATGTTCTTAGACAAGAAATAAAATGAGATGAAGAACTGAACAGAGCAGAACCCGTTAGAACCAGCTGAAGGTCATAAACCACCTAATCAGTTTTATTAAATTATTGTCTTAATCAAGAACCAATAATCTGTATTCAAATGATTCTTTACCCTCTTTGAAATATCAGGATTCTACTAAAGGACTCTTGGTCATACCTGATAATGGAAATGTTATGAGTATATGAGGATATAACACTAATGTTAAATCAGCGTTTAAACTCTTAGTGAAATAAAGCTTGTCCAAGCTTCAACAACAACAGCTCTGTAAGATAAGATAAGATAATCCTTTATTTGTCCCACAGTGGGGAAATTGCAGCGTTGCATCACAGTACAGTAGGAAAAAAGAAGAAGAAGAATACAAAGTATAAAAAAAATAAATAAATAAATATTTAAAAATATATATAAAAAAAAAAAAAACACTGTAGTGTGCAGTCCATCCTGTTAGCCTTTTCTTTACCCATCAGTAAACACATTAAATGATCAACATCATCAAAAAACATATTTGCCCTAATTGTGCCAGACCTGCAAACCTTTTTTCTATCTCCAGATTGAAGGTTGAGTTTCATCCAGCAGCAGCTTAGCACGGCAAGGCAGGCTCTCTTTTTCTCAGCGGCTAACACCAGGGGTCCTTAGGGGGCCTTCTCTCCAGTCTGGCTCTGTAAGTCCTGAAACTCAAGAGAAATGTGTTGCAAAAGGTTTTGCAGCAGTTTGGTTCTGAAAGGTCACCATGATAACTTATCCTTGATGATTCTGGAGATCTGGGTCCCCTTGGGCCAGGGGTCTCCAGTGTGGTGCAGAACCAGTGGACCTGCACCCCAGGCAGCCCCATGGCGGAGGGCAAAGAGAAAGAATCCTGTGTGTTTAGTGGTTTTATCTCTCCTCAACAAAGAGGGGGGTGGTTGGTCACAACGCTGTCACTTGCCATGTGACATGCCTGTGACTGCTTTGGCTGAAGAAGGGGGGTTGCAGAGTTCTTAAAGCTGCTTGTTCACCAAACGTTTATCTTCTTCTCTGGTCATCATGTCAAGAGGAAATATGGACACTGGTTCCCAATATCCAAAAACCATGATCATGGCATATGGTACAAGAAAAATCCACTGAACTAAAACGGTGTTGAGCAACACTTTGAGGCAATAATCACTGAAATCAGGTGTTTTCTGAACAGTTCTGCCAGTGGTGCCAATAGGGGCTGGCCACGGCCACCCTATGCAATGCCGTGGCCAACCCACTGACCACCCCAAATGGCCAGGTTAAATTGTAGAAGCATCAGTTTAGCATTTCACGATTCGTGAAGATGGACCAGCTAGAAGAGCGGTGCACAGGACGCTGGGACCCTTTTTCCATCTGGATCCCCGCTCTTTTTGTCCTTCATGTCCCTCCGTTATCACACAACCTAGCCTCCACCTCATCGTCGCCTCGGCCGTATCTAGACCCACAGCTAGTTCGTGATCTTCCCTCTTGCGTTGTGGCGTGGAATATCATAGCGCAGACCACGCTTCAATATTGGGCATAAATCAAAAATACCTGCAACAAATTGCATAGGGTGGCCACGACTGTGGCCAACCCACTGACCACCCCAAATGGCCAGGTTAAATTGTAGAAGCATCAGTTTAGCATTTCATCCCATTCTGCATAGCCAGCGACGTAACATTAAAAATCACACAATAAACCAAGATATGAGTAGGTTTTTACTTAAGTCTTTATGATTTCTACAGGCAAGTTTACCACAATAGTAGATTCAAAACCTGAGATTATGACTTTTAGTTTCAGTGGCCACCCCAAGATTTTTAGTGGCCCCATCTGACCCCAGTGAAGCCTTTTTTGGAGGCGCCACTGATTTCTGCACCTGTTTACAGGTATATTGTTTCACTGTGAAGAATCCACTTTCAGTTCTCTGGGTCAGTTCGTTTTTTTTTTTTTTTATAAATAAAGGAAATACATTAAAAATTAATAGTTTATTTGGCTGAATTATCATTTAGTAAATTTTATTATTTCTTTTTTTTATTGCTAGTGTGAGTTTATCCTTTTCTTTACTGGGAGGGTATTTAAACTTTCAAAAACAGCTGCATGTGAAGTACCTCGATGTATTTTTGGGTCACAGGCTTAAAACAACCATTCAACAAACATTATGTCCTTATTTTAGGGTACATTCGTGTATTTTATTATGGTTGTTGGCCACCAGTCGACCTCAGAGATCACATCATTATGATCCTGTAAACCATCTCATAAACCCCCCCCCAGCTGAGTCCAGCTGAGTGATGAGGGGCCTTACAGAACCCTGTAGAACCCCTACAGAACCACTGATTTGGTCTCATTCTCTCAAATCTGTGTGAAATCAGCAGCTGGAGGAGAGCAGCGTCTGGGTCAGGCCTGGTTTGTGGGTTGGGACCAGTTAGACGGTCCTGTTAGAAGGTCGTCTCCAGTTAGACGGTCAGGTCCAGTAAGGGGGTCGGGTCCAGTTAGACGGTCAGATCCAGTAAGAGGGTCTGGTCCAGTTAGACGGTCCCGTTAGATGGTTGTGTCCAGTTTGAGGGTCCTGTTAGACAGTCGGGTCCAGTTAGACGGTCAGGTCCAGTAAGGGGGTCGGGTCCAGTTAGACGGTCAGGTCCAGTAAGACGGTCTGGTCCAGTTAGACGGTCCCGTTAGATGGTTGTGTCCAGTTTGAGGGTCCCGTTAGACAGTCGGGTCCAGTTAGACGGTCAGGTCCAGTAAGACGGTTGGGTCCACTTAGACGGTCCCTTTAGATAGTCAGGTCCAGTTAGAGGGTCACGTTAGACAGTCGGGTCCAGTTAGACGGTCAGGTCCAGTAAGGGGGTCGGGTCCAGTTAGACGGTCAGGTCCAGTAAGACGGTCTGGTCCAGTTAGACGGTCCCGTTAGATGGTTGTGTCCAGTTTGAGGGTCCCGTTAGACAGTCGGGTCCAGTTAGACGGTCAGGTCCAGTAAGACGGTTGGGTCCACTTAGACGGTCCCTTTAGATAGTCAGGTCCAGTTAGAGGGTCACGTTAGACAGTCGGGTCCAGTTAGACGCTTAGTTCCAGTAAGAGGGTCGGGTCCAGTTAGACGGTCCCATTAGATGGTTGTGTCCAGTTAGAGGGTCCAGTTAGACGCTCAGGTCTAGTAAGAGGGTCTGGTCCAGTTAGGCGGTTGGGTCCAGTTAGACGCTCAGGTCCAGTAAGAGGGTCGGGTCCACTTAGACGGTCCTGTTAGATTGTCGGGTCCAGTTAGACGGTCCCATTAGATGGTTGTGTCCAGTTAGATGCTCAGGTCTAGTAACAGGGTCTGGTCCAGTTAGGCAGTTGGGTCCAGTTAGACGCTCGGGTCCAGTAAGAGGGTCGGGTCCACTTAGACGGTCCTGTTAGATGGTCGGGTCCAGTTAGATGGTCGGGTCCAGTTAGACGGTCCCATTAGATGGTTGTGTCCAGTTAGATGCTCAGGTCTAGTAACAGGGTCTGGTCCAGTTAGGCAGTTGGGTCCAGTTAGACGCTCGGGTCCAGTAAGAGGGTCGGGTCCACTTAGACGGTCCTGTTAGATGGTCGGGTCCAGTTAGATGGTCGGGTCCAGTTAGACGGTCCCATTAGATGGTTGTGTCCAGTTAGATGCTCAGGTCTAGTAACAGGGTCTGGTCCAGTTAGGCAGTTGGGTCCAGTTAGACGCTCGGGTCCAGTAAGAGGGTCGGGTCTACTTAGACGGTCCTGTTAGATGGTCGGGTCCAGTTAGAGGCTCGGGTCCAGTTAGGCGGTTGGGTTGCGTTACAAGGTCCAGTTAGATGGATCGTTTTTGGTCAAACTGAGGTTAGTAACATTTGGAGAAAACTAGTTATCAGGGTAAAAAGAACCTTCCAGTCTAACAGTGTGTTTGTCTGTAGGTCCTGTGGCCCTGATCATAACCCGCCTCCACCGTGCATTTAGTTTGACGTGGTTCTGTTTGTTAGGGTCCAAGATCTTCTGAGCTCCTGTGGTCCTTCATCCACATGCAGCCTCGCTGACCTTCATCTTTCTACCAAACCCATCCAGTGACCTTTGACCTCTGACCTACTGACCAAGGCCTTCAGAGTCAGATGGTGCCGTCTGGTTTCAGATGGATGTCTGCTGCCGTATCTTTGTGCTGAAGCTGTTTGGACTCTGAGGCGCTGAGCTGCAGAGCTGTGCCACAGTGATAGCGTGGGAGGTAACCACAGCTTCCTTAAGATGGCACCCTGATGATGTCACAGGAAGTGAAACAACAAAAACAGAGTCATCGCTTCTACATATGTGAAGGCTGCAAACGTTGGCTCCGCCCACTCAGGAAGCGGAGGTTGAGGAGATGGAAGCTAAATTTGGGCCTTTTTTTCCAGCGCTTTCCAGCAGTTCTGTTAAAGCCCGGTCCGTTTGTCTGGTTCTGACTCTCCTAAAGGGTCTAGATCAGCAGATTCTCTGGCCTCCAGAAGAGCTTTGGCGCTTTTCCACTAGTTTCGCTCCAGTTCTTTGATCTTTGTATGTCTGCCTCATTAGGAAGTGTAACCCAAAGCATTGTGAGCTCAGGGTGCATTATGGGAAGCGTAGTTTCTGGAGGTTCAGCTGACTTTAACTCCACAATCCTCCCTGTCTGTTATGAGGATATTTTTGTCTCCCAGCTGCTCAGTTAATCCTTTCTGCAGCCCCTTTCTTCTTCTACGATGCCGTCTCTGTGGACCACAGGGAACCTGAGCTCAGTTCCACCATCCGAGCACCGATGGCCATGCGGCTGGACCGACCTGTGACAGACAGGAACTCCTTCTTCTTTGTCTGGTTTTTGTTTTATTTTCTTATTTCTTATTCTTCTTAAGTGTTTGAGTTCAGATAAAGCTTTATCTGCTTTCTTAAAGTCCGTCTCCAGCTGACATCTGGATTGTAAACCTCACCAGATGCATTTGGTGAGCTTTCTAAGTCAATTTTTCCTGTGCAGGAGATGGAAAATGTTTTTATGGACCAAAGACTTGTTTTTGTTTTGTTTTTTTGGTTATGGTGGTCTTCAGAGAAATGCAGCTCAGTGTTTGATGGAAGAGCTTCCTAAACGTACCGTTTCCATGAAGCCCCTCATTTATCCTGCAATCTTTAGGTGACCTCAGATCAGGTGCCTTGCCCAGAGACACACAGACATCTGAGAGTTGGTAGCTGGAATCAGACCAGCAACCCTCCACTGCTGAGACGACTCCCCTCACTTTGCTTCAGTCGCTTCCTGGTGTTTGGATTTGATAGACACCACTGCTCCGGTTTCTATAAAAGTATTCACACCCCTGGACTCTTATCAGCTCAACGTGATCGTTCAAACTTCAAAGGTTTCGTCCAGCAGTTATTGGGTCAGAGCTGCTGGGTGAACGGACCGGGCTGGATCGGTTCCCGCCCCTCTGGATCAGTACGACCTCCTCTGGATCCAGCCCTCGCAGGTTTTCTCTTCCAGCTTTGAACATCTGCAGAGTAAAAATATTCTCCATTCCTCTTATTGAAACAGCTCCAGCTCAGACTGCACTGAGAACATCAGCCTTTACTTTGACTCGACCAGCGTTAACCAATTAAAAATAAGCAGGGTCCGAATAAAGAAAATCATCAACCAGTAAAGGTCCGGAGACATTTTTAATTAAAATCTGTTACTTTAAACAGAATTTAACACAGAAAAAAATTAGGTGTTTATGCATCCATGTTATACACTGAATTTTAAACAAGAAAATATATAGAACATTTTTTAATTTTAAAGTGTTTTTTGAAGTAGAGAACAACAATCTTTGAGTTTGGTATATAGACAATTTCCTAATTCATATATTTTATAAAACACCTGAACTGACCGTTAGTTTTTTCTTTCTTTTTTCTGTCTTAATGTTCGCAGTGGGCTTTATGCTGCCCTGCAAGGCTTTAAACCTGGGTTTGAATGGAGACAAAGCCATTCTAAAGCACAGATCAAGGAGCTCATTCTGAGCCTGGATCCATGTTTATTTTTGATTCTGTTCATGGCCAAACATCCTCTAAATGTGCAGGGTCACCTTTGAGCACCATTTCACTTTTCTGTCACCAGTTCACCGCGGTGCCGAATGCTCAGGAGGGCTTTACCATATTAACAGGAGAAGAAGCACAAGTGACATTTAGACACTGCCGTCAGACAACATGCAGTAATTTATTAATGTTTCAAATCAGGTTGGGTCCAGATAAGCCAGCAGGTGGGTCCAGATCCAGACCGCGGATTGCTAATCCATCAGCTCTGGAATAGACCATTCCAACACATTTAACTGGTTGGATCTAAACCCAGATTTCACCACTGTAAGGCGATAAAGGATTAGTTTGTTTTGTTTTGTTCTGTCCTTCTGTTGATCCTCCATGAAGGTCAGATGGACAATCAGTCCTGAGGACAGATTGCCCTCACTGAGCTGTGGGTCCCAAAAGGATGTCGCTGATTGGCAGGAACATGACATAAATCAGAACATTAGGGGCGAGTATTCCCATGGGTGTTGCGATACGATATTATTACTATATTGCTATATCTCCATATATTTTGATATTTTTCCTGCTATCAAAATTAAATGTGTAGATAAAAAAAAGGAAGCGCTGTATATGTTCATCAGATGAAATTGATCGTTCAGATGTTTTGGTATCCATGTTCCCTGGGGTTTGAGTCAGTTCACGTTTTCCACTGTGACCGCCTCAACTACAGATACAGCGCTGCGCCATCTGCCAGACTGGCGGTGCAGAGGTATCCCATTTTCCCTTAAAAAATCTATACTAGGAACTAAAAGGTTGATATATATAAAAAACGCGATATTTTACCAAAATATTTTTTTCCAGGATATCTAGATGGTCAGAAGCAGTCAGACCCGATTCTAAACACGTTGTTCTGATGGCAGCATGTCGGTCAGAGTGGCTAAAAATGACCTAATGTTGGCATTTAACATGTGTTTCCATAGTAACCTCTGTTGCTCTAGATTGGACGGAGATTCTTGTGCTTCTGGGTGCCAAGCAGACCACGTTATGGTTCTGTGATCTAAGTCTGGACCAGTGAACTTTGTGGCTTTAGATCCCTGGATGTCTGTCAGCTGAAAGCAGAAGGACTTTCCTGCTCAGACCTTCTGTGTCCTTTTCTTCTATCTGTCTCCAAACTGTAAGCCCAGCCATGTCCCCTATCAACCTTTGATCAGGCCTGACATCAAGCAGACTCGGCTGGTTGCCCCTGATTTCTGACCCGTCTGGTCCTGACCTAATGTAACTCATCTGTATGAGTTCCTTTAATTGGTCCATCAGCCTCTTTCCTAACAGCTTGGGTTTATACGACCATCTGATCCTGCATGGACTGACTGATGGATCATTGATTTAAGATTTTAAATAAATGATTTGTTCTTTAAATCACAATCATTTAAATATTTAAACCCTTTTATTTTGTTCAGAACTTCCTAAATGGAGTCCAATCTGTAGTTCTGAGACGGATCCAACTTGGGCGGCTTTGTTTATCTAACTGTTCTGTCTGATGTCTCTCTTTCAGATCTGTGCGTAATCGACCCAAAGCTCTGTGGCGATGAAAACTCCCTCCTCAGCTTCGAGGCCATCCTTAGCATCCACAAGCTGATGGATGACGATGCGGACGGCAGCGTGGACACCATGGAAACGGACGAGGTGAGACTGCCAGGGACGTGTCCCGATCTGTGGAATAAAAGCCCTGCTCCTGATGTCGACTCCCTCCTCAGTTTCTCAGGGAGGACCTGAAGTACAACGACCCGAAAGCCAAACACAACAGCTTCCACCGGGCCGACGCGCACATCAGCGTGGAGGACATATGGAGCACCTGGAAGAGTTCAGAAGGTGAGCGGGAAGAACCAGGACTCTCTGCAGGATTCATGGGTGTAATGAGTCCATTTTGTTCTGATGCTGAAACAGAACCAAAACAGGTGCCTTCTTTGGAGTTTGTCACATCACTTCCTGTTTTTTCTGCAGATCGCTGTATGGTGTTCAAGCACTTTCTACTGTTGCACTCTTCCATGCGTTGTTTGCTTTTTTAAGCATGGTAAGGTGTCATTAGTCTAGCATTAGCCTAGAATTAGTTCTAGGGCTTTAGTGTCTTTGTTTAAGTCTCCTCTCTCTACTATATGTTCAGTTATTCCTCTGCCTCCTTCAACATATGAACAAGAATTAGGGCCATGCTGAATTTATTTTATTTTATTTTAATAATACCAGGATCAGGGTTAGATGACCCTAATATCAGGGATCAAAGTCAAATGTTTGCCGGGGGCCAGAATGGGCACCAACCTGAAACTGCTGACTAAGTAAAAGGCTAACCACACTAAGATATTTATTCACGCTGGTGGTAATGACTCCGTAATTTTATCTGGTCCTCTCCCCAATCTCGCCAATGATGACATGTTTAGCCACATGTCATCATTCAATGGCCCCCCGCACTTTGGATGGTGCAGCTCCCTTTTTCTAGGAATCTGGCCAAAAATTATTAGTCCTCCAAATCCCCGACAGCCCAGGGTGCAGACCAGAGTAGTTTAACACACCTCTCTGCAGCTTCTCTGCTGTTAACTACTCATTACTACATCCAAACAGCTTCTTGCCCACGACCAAAATCATGTAAATTAGAATCTAAAATTAATACGACTCCAACAGAGCAAAATATTAAAACAATAAAATTTGGGTTACTGAAAATGATATCATTCTCCTCAAAAGAATTAAGTTGTCTCACAGAAACCTGGCTGCAGTAGGAGGATCATGTTAGGAGAAATGAGGCAACACCCTCCGGCTATTTTAAATTTCAAATGTCCAAACATTCTGGGCGAGGAGGAGTAGCAGCAGCAATCTTTCAATCTGACTTTCTGATTACTCCAAAGACAGTTAGTAATCATAACTCTTTTGAATATTTAACCCTTAGTTTCAATCAGTCAATCAACTTTATTGTCAACTACAATTTACTTTGCAATCGAGATTTCAGTTTTACCACAAACCGTTCATCACAGTAGATAACATATATTGGGGTGGGGTTGGGGGGGCTGAGAGAGGGAATGGTTTTACTGAGGCCATGTGTGCCGCAGAACGCTGCCTTTGGCACTTTCATATGGCTTCCCAGGTTCCCAACTGTTACCTGGCTTCCCAGGCTGTTACCTATAGCGCTTCCTTTATCTCTGTGGAAAGATAGGAGTTGCATTGGGGAAGAGAGGAGAAAAAAAAGCATATTTAAAACTTTATCCTTGACAGGATACAGTTTGAGATATCAAAGCCACCAGCCTCCCCTCATCCAAGTTGCAAAGTAACAAAAATGTGTATTATCCACCAGGTTGTAATGAGTTTTCAGAGTTCCTATCGGATTTAGTGTTAAATACTGACAAGGTCATCAAAGTGGGGGATTTTAACATCCATGCTGACATTGATAGCTTAAATACATCCGTTAATGCTATCTTAGACTTGGTTGGCTTTGTTCAAAATGTGAATAGTCCCACACATTCTCATCTTCATACGTTGGACCTTGTGCTGACATATGGCATTGAATGTTAAGAAATAACACTATTTCCTCACAACCCCATCCTCTCCGACCATTTTTTTAGTAACCTTTAAATTTTATTTAAATGAGTTGTTCCAATTCTGGACATAGGGGCTCTAATCTCTCGTTTTGCAGTATTTTTTAGGGCTGTTGTAAACGAATATTTTAGTAATCGAGTAATCTATCGATTATTCTTACGATTAATCGAGTAATCGGATAAAAAAAATTTATAAAATAAACTATTGGCAAATCTGCAATAACACCAGTTACCGGTAGTCCAGATCAGTCCAATATCTCCTTTTTGAGCATCCCTAACAGTTAAATGTTTGTAGTTTAGAAAGTTTACTTGTAACAGTAGTTTGCTTTAACCTGAAGAAAAGTTATAAGATATTAAATTATATTCAAATAATAAAGTGGCAGGCTCACAAATATGCTTATAAAAATGTCTAAATTTAAAGGTTTGAGTTTGTACAGAGTTCTGCAGCCTTAACTAGTCATGATAAAATGCAAAAATGTTGCTATTTTTATTAAAACGATGCTATTATTTATTCTTGATTGCTTAGGTATAAACAAATATAGAATTACTACAAAAAATATTAATCAAAAATTTCTAATTCATACATAACAGTAGCGAGAAGAAAAGACTGTAACTTTTCAGGATGGAAAGACACCAATAAATAAATGCTTTTCAGCTTTTGCCTGTAATCTGTTGCTGCGTATTTTTATTAACAAACTTACATTAAGTCCTGCATAATTTCTCTCAGTTCCACCCTCACATACAATTTACACTACACCCGGTTAAGTAACCGCTATGTTTAGATGTAACGTTAGCAAAATAATGTGCCTCAATTTACATCTATAACATGGCAGATTATCACACAACGTAGTTAGCAAAGAGAACATAAACGTTACCTGTTGGCAACCGTGTACGAGTTGGATGCATGTAGCGGGTGTTTTCTCTTCAGATGCTGCAACATTGATGTCGTGCTGTTGTGGTACGCCAATTCTGCTTTGCAGTGGATGCATTGCGCTGTGTTGTCCTTTCTGTTTAGCCTAAAATGTTCCCAAACTTTTGACATTTTTTGTCGCTTTCGGGGTTCTCCTTCTGAGCATTCTCCGGTTCCCTCCATAGCTACAAACTTAGCACAAGCGCTCCAGGCGCTAACGGAAGTGGTAGCGTTGTGCAACACAAAAACCCTCCGGCTAGACCAGTGTGCTGCGTATTTAACAGCATTGCTTATTACAATACAATAAATTTAGCGAAGCTTCGAGGCAGATAAATTTCCTCGAGGATTTTTTGTAATCGAGTTACTCGAGTTACTCGATGAATCGTTTCAGCCCTAGTATTTTTTAGTTCAACCTGTAACTTGATGCTTTCTCTTATTATAGTAATTTCATTTGGTCTGTTCATCTTTGGCTGTGACTCCATTCTGGAGAGAAATATCAGCTGTGCTGCTGCAATCAACATCTTACATTGTAGATGATGGAGCTGGGCCTGTTTTTCAGTATTTAGACCTGTTTCTCTCATAGCTATGTGCTCAGCTTTTACTGTGAATATCAGGATGTGCTTTCTTTGATCATGTATGTGTTTAGTTATTTAGAAATTAAGACAGATATTTCTAAATAAACATAAAACAGGCTTAGAGAAGGAACCAAGAACCATGCAAAACCAAAATGCTATTTTTAGACCCGTGCATTTTTCCAGCTCCGTTTTCCAGACTGACTGCCCGGGCTGGAGACTGTTTACACTCGGCAGGGTCGGGCTTGGACCTGAGTTGCAGCGGAACTCTGTAGGTATTTCCTGTGTGCTGATGGATCTGCACGGTTTGTTCTGTGTGTTCAGTGTACAACTGGACGGCGCCGCAGGTGGAGGAGTGGCTTGTGGTGAGCGTGGAGCTTCCTCAGTACGCAGAAAGCTTTAGGAAGCACCAGCTGGATGGCAGAGTTCTGCCCAGGTAACAACAGACTGAACTGGATCAATCAGAACCACTCTGTTTACTGATAGAAACTTAACCCAAATACAGAAGCTGAGAGTGGAAGGGTGTAAACCTCGGACCTGAAGCAGGAAATGTGTCATTTTTCCCCATTTAATAGGATTTTACGGGTCAGAACCTCACAGAATTAATCAAGATTTGTACTTATGAAGATTCTTGAAACTGTATGTATTTGATTTAAGCCCCTCTACTCTGATAGCCAAAACAGGACCACATACTGCATCAGCAGAGTCCACTCTGAGTCCAACTGCAGGTGTGGACCACTGAAGGGATAAAATTCAGCCTTATCTGAGGTTTTTTCTCTCCAGTCCAGAGCTGCTTTATTTTGTGTCTGTTTGGACAGTTTGTCACATTTAAAGTCTGCGGTTCGTCTCACAGACGTCCCTCTGAGCCTCTGAAGAAAACCGAAGTTTACTTTATCTGCACATGATGGATGTCTGCGGTTATTTTTACTGTGTCTGCTTAGTTACGGTTTTCTGTTCCCACACTGGTTCTGTCTGTTCTGAACCTTAGCCGGATCTGATCAATTACCCTCAGAATCAGCTGCAGGTTTCACACCTCCATCCTGTCCTCCTCTTCCTCGCTGCAGGTTGGCAGTGAAGAACGTCACTCTGACGGTTTCCCTGCTGAAGATCTTGGACAGAAGTCACGCTCAGAAGCTGCAGCTGAAGGCCCTGGACATTGTTCTGTTTGGACCTCCACCAGGTGGGATCCCAGATGCTCTCTATGCATCAGTCTGTTTAAAAATTATGAAATCTGTTATACGACAAGCCAGTTTAATCCGACAGGCTGACATGAACCTGTTCGTTCGTTCATTTGACTTTCTGTTTGGTAAATTCTGGCTCAGATTTGAAACTGACTAAGAACTTTAAGGTCTTCAGCAACCCAACCAACATCAAAAACAAAAGCCCCTCTGAATGTAGATGGATGCAGCTTTTATTTTGAACTGGATCTGAAATTGTTCAGTATTAGAAAATAAAAAGTAACTTTTGGGGGAAAAAAATAGAAAATAAATATGATAAAACTTTAAAAAGGATGAGATGGAGGTGTTAGAATTCATCCTAGAACTCCATCCATCTGTCCTGTGACCAGCCTCAGCTGAGATCCCTCCTCTCAGCCTTCTTTCAGCAGCTCTAAACAAACACTGAGCTGCTAACTGTCTGTCCAGCGAGTCCTTGGTCTGTTCCCGGGTCTCCTCCTAATGACATGTGACTATAAGACCTGCATGCTGAACGTGTCCAATAGGCAGGTCCAGGTAGGACAGCAGTAGATACTCCAAGGCCGGCCAAAGTTAGCGACTGCGGCCCCAGGGCGACTAGGGTCCCCTAAGAACATTTATTTAAGTGCTCTTGCTTGGATGATGATTTTAATTTAATATAGTAACTATTTAATAATTAAGTTGTGCATTTTTTGTTAGAAATATACTCTACCATGTAGGAATCATTGCTTATAAATTATTGCTTAAAAAAAAGATTATTGGGCGTGGCACAGTGGTTAGCAAACACGACGAATGTACGGAGGCCTTCAGGCTGATTTAGACTGAGAAACAGGATCGTCTGCATGTGTGAATGCTAATGTGCCCCCACCCCTGCCGCAGACACTCTGCTGCACCTTTTCCAAATTGTAGGTGATCGCAGACAGTTCCGCAGACAGGAGGCCTCTGATTGGTCAAATCTACATCCACTCTACACTATGCGTACTTCCTGTTTGGTACGTTAGCTGCTTGTTTTGTTTGTATGACCGCCATTGTGGAAATCGACTTGTGAAGATGGACCAGATACAAGAGTGAAATGCAAGAGAAAGCTTGAACCCTTTTTCCACCTGGATCCCCGCTCTTTTTCACCCTCATGTCCCTCCGTTATCGCACAATCTTGCCCCCACTTCCTCACCGCCTCGGCCATATCTAGACCCACAGCTGGTTCCTGATTGTCCGTCTTGCGTTGTGGCGTGGAATAACATGGCACAGACCACGCTTCAATATGGGGCATACATTAAAAATATCCGTGACAAGCTCACTGCGAAATACTTCCAGCCCTTAAGAGTTATTTTAAAGTCCGAAGTTTAATTATTTTAAAACATCATAACATTAAACAGCTAACTGACAATATAAAAATAAAGTTTTAATCCTGTCAGATACTCCAGGGCCAGACAAAGTAAGAGACTGCTCAGGGCCCGAGGTCGACAAGGGGCCCCTAAGAACAATTATTTGAGTTTAATTGCTTGAATGGTGATTTTTATTTATTATAATAACAATTTAATAATGGATTTGTGCATGTTTTGTTAGAAATATACACTACCATGAAGGAATCATTATTTATACATAAAAAAACTGATTATTGGGCGTGGTTTGGTGGCCCAGTGGTTAGCGCACAGGACCCATGTATGGAGCGACCCATGTACGACCTGGGTTTGAATCCGACCTGTGGTCCTTTGCCGCATGTCTCCCCCCTCTCTCTCATACTCCCTTTCCTGTCAACCTATTGTCAATAAAAATGAGCCACTAGTCCTGTAAAAACTCAAAAAGAAGAGCCAGATCTACTAACAGAATAGCTACGATCAGTGTTGATGTCTCCATAGATGAACATAAACTGGATATTTTCTGTATATTTGATTAGATTATGTCTGTTTTAGTACAATTTAATTCATTTTCTTTATTGAAACTATGTTCAGTTTTTTGTTGTTCTTGGGCTACAGATATTTTTTTTACTTTGTTGTTGCACTTGGAACCAAAAAGCTTAAACCCTGAAAACGTTTACTGTAAATAAAATACCCATTTGGTTTATTAATAGAAGAAGATGATGACTAGAAGTATAACCTGTGGAGTACTTCAGAGGTGCTGTCCGACTTCATCGGGTTACTTCTTTATAAACAGGCCAGCAGAGCCGATGGAAGGATCTGGTTCTTGGTTTATCTGTGCTGATGGCACTAGGCGGCTGCTGGTTCGCCTACATCCAGACCAGGAAGTCCAGAGATGACCTGGGGAAGCTGGTGAAAGACCTGGAGGGTTTGCAGAGGGCCGAACAAAGTCTGCTGGACCTGCAAACAAAGTGAGTCAGTCGCAACTGTGCGAATTCTAAACCTACTAATGCTAACATGATCTAGAAGCTTTAGCATGCTGCGGATAAACCAGCATTTTGGTCTGTAGATGAGACATTTAATCCAGGGAGACGCATAAGGAGAGCTATCATCCACCCTCAGTGGAGATAGATGGTCCTCTGTTTCTTTGATGGCATCCCTGCATGAAAGCCACTCATTCATCGGAGGAGGAGGATTTAAAGTCATAGGGAAGTCGTATTTAAATATCATCATTCTGGCTTAAACATGTATATAAATGTACTCTTAAAAGTTAAAACATTTCTATAAAAAAAAAATCCTGTCTTAAAATCATTATTTTTTTTTTCCTTATCTTATGCAGGCCAGTTATACGTCAGCTTGAACACCTAAATTCGGCCAATCATATATCAACGGTCATCTGTCAATCAAACTTTTTCGGTCATAGCACCTTGATTCATATGTCGTAGCTAATATACGCAACGTTGAAATAAGAATAATTTCCTTTCCCATTGAGTTTCCTCTCAGTGTCCACGGGGATGGACGTCTGTGTCTTCAGCAGGCGTAGACCTAACAGAACTGGCAGCGTTGCGAGGCAAGGGCTCAAACATGTACGGCTGGAAGCCTTCTACACCCTGGCGTGGTATTTAAACCAGTCCGGTTGTGAACAAGAAGGTTGACCCAGTTTTCTAAGTATATCGTCAGGTTTCTGCCAAAAGTCCACACAGTCAATGGTTGCATTCGATTTCAGCGGCTGCATCCTGCAAGGTCCCGGTCTACCTGGACTGGGTCCTTGGAGGTCCGTGAAAATAAGGTCAGAAGAGTTCTGGTATGGATTCAAACAGATCAAGCCTTCCCCAGCTTTCATGGCCTATACAATTTGTTGCCTAGCAACCGTGTCAGTTGACACACAAATCAGGCAAAGAATGGATGCTGGACTTCTCACTGCTGTTCTGGGTGCTCCTAATATTTTCAAAGAGCTTTAGAAGCAGTACCATCATCGCAGATATCAGATTTATGGTCCCCACTCTGCAGATATATTGGAATCTGAGCTAAAATGTCAGCCAAGCCCATTTGCACAGGGACAGATAAAACCTTTCAATAAACCAAAATTACCCGCTACATATCTGGCTCAATAACCATTTAAAACAACTATTTTCATTAATTTCAAACGGAACTATTCACATATTTCCATTACATTGCACTTGCAATATTTACCACTGTATGGCACAACAGGTATCCCAAGGCTACGTAGGATGCACCGGACCTGTCGTTTAAAATGGACAAAAAGGCTGCATTCCTCGGCTGCATAATGAGGAGTCTTCCGATCCGGATCTGGTCTTCGGCGGACGCAGCCGCTGAATTCGAACTCAGCAATTAAATACTTCTATGAGGAGCTTTACCTTATTCAGATGCTCATAAACTACAGCTCACATGCATTTTCAACATGTTGCATGCACAAATAGAGCACCACAGGGCCTACATATCACCCATATGAGTGATTGTCCCTTCTCTGCATGCGTGTGGTTTGATTTCCTTCTTTTCAAGAGCTGGAAGTAGGTAAGCAAAGTCATCATTAGACATATCATGATCTTGATGAATACTGGATTCTGATTGGCTGTAGGAGGTCTACTAAAAAGGGTTATAGGACATCTACAGAAAAAGTTCAGGTGGAATAGCCCGGTAGTTTCTGCTAGCTCAAACATTCGCTGGAAATCTGAAGACGGTTTACTCTGGTTAAATTGGCAGAGTCAGAACTCAGAAGGCGGGATTTCCTAAATCTGTCCTGCGGGTAACGCCTTCAAAGTGACAAAAGTTAACGGGAGCAATCAGAAACAGGTCCGCACACAAGGGAGGCTGCGCTGGTGTGTTTTGATTTCCACAGGCAGAGAAGGAACAAGCACTCATATGGGTGATATATTGGGGCCCTTGGAACTCTATTTGAACATGTGACATGCGATACATGCGTGTGAGGAGTAGTGCTAGGGTGAAATAAAGCTGCCCGTAGGAGTATTTATTGCGTTTGTGGAGTTTTGGCGGAATCATAATGCCATATCAAGGCTCTCTAATAAAATGCAGTGATCAACTGTCAAATGCTGGAAAGAGGTCCAATAATACCAGAACTGTGGTTCTTCTAATGAGAGCTGTGGGTAAAACATGGAGACAGCAGGATGAAGAGCTTAGCTGGTGTATAATTTCCTCTAAAACCAGTTCCATTCAGAGACCACCTTGATTGCCTTAATATGGACATACAGACGGCCCCATTAATCTTTCTGAGGGTTTTCAGTGAAGAAGTTAGTGGATTGTTGCAGCCTCTGGTTCTTCACAAGGTTTTCCTGTAGAAAAGAGGAACTAAGACTCATTAGCTGAGGTAAGGCCAGTAAAAATCAGAGGAAGCAGAGTGTGTTTGTTAATATGGCATGTCACAGCATGCTTCTGTAGGTGTTGGGGTTTCTGCTGGGCGGCGGCGTGTTCGCCAGGTAGCTGTGTGTGTGTCAGCATGCAGACTCAGCTGCTGGCTAGTCTTTGCCCATATAAGGAACACAGCTCCAGCAGTGGCTGTTCACACACATTACAGGCGTCACTTCCTCCCCAACACTGCAGCTTTTTCATAGAAATAACATCTAATAGTGAAATAAATCAAATCTCATAGTTTCTGAAATACATATAAGAGTCCTAGTAAAGCAGCAGAGGCCTTTCTGTGGTAACAGCGGTAAGGTCACAGCATTGTGATACACAGTGGTATTTTTAGCTGTAGTGGGGAGTATTCACCTAATTCTTTCAGTGTAGCCACCTAAAAATAACTCAGAGTCCCGGTTGGCTTCATGAGCGCAGCCCGACTGCTATCGCTCAGAGAGGGTTTAAAGTTCAGAGTCCTCCTCCAGAGAAACCCTCAGTGTGACTCCAGGAGGACGAAACATCTCCAGGTGGTGACAGGGAGCCTGCATGCCGCCGAATCTGCACACTTCTGGTTTCTGTCAAAACTGGAGCAGTTTTCTTTAGAAACATCATACTGTAGGATTTAAATCTCCAGCAGAGGCACAAGGCATTATGTTGGGAACCCTTATATTTATAACAAAGCCAACCTTCAATCAAACTACACATCTTAAAGTCGTAGGGAAACGGCTGTTCCAATGATTGCATTTCCGAATTCTCCCGAGTGGTGCACGACTTTACACGAGTGAATAAAGTGAATGTGATTGGTCAATTATCAAGGGGGCGGGATTGTTGTGGTGGAAGATTTGCAAGCATTTTGATTGTGGACGGTTTCTCGGAAGCATCTTGCTAACCAGTTAGCATCTTAGTGCTAGTAGGTTCCCAATGGGAAATTCCATTGGGACCAAGTAGCACTAAATTGGTGACTTAGAAACGACACTGTCAAGGAACGCTATGGACAGCGGAAACATGCAAGAGGAGGAGAATTTAGTGTCGGAGGTCGTGGATGAGTCTCCTCCGTCATCCATTTTTTATTTAGAGGAGGAAAGCGAGGACGAAGATGTTGTGGAAGAGGACGCCAGGGTGGCAGAAGCTTGGTTTGGTGTAGAAGGCTTACAGCCGTACATGTTTGAGCCCTTGCCTCGCAACACTGCCAGTTCTGTTAGCTGTACGCCTGCTGAAGACACAGACGTCCATCCCCGTGAACACTGGGACGGAACTCAATGGGAAAGGATATGATTCTTATTTCAACAGTTGCGTATATTAGCTGCAACATATGAATCAAGATGCTATGACCGAAAAAATTTGATTGAGAGATGACCGTTGATATATGATTGGCCGAATTTAGGTGTACAAGCCGACGTATAACTAACTGGCCTGCATAAGATAACGGGGGAAAAAAACACAAACACAGATTTTAAGACAGGATTTGTTTTTAAACAGAAATTTTCAAACTTTTGGGACAATATGGTCTGATAAAGAGTACATGTTTAAGCCAAAATTTAAATATGACTACCATACCACTTTAATAATCAACATCAGTTACCATAGAGATGCAGATGACACCAAGCTGTACGGCACCATGTCACCAAGCCAATCCAGCTCTTAGTAAATGCATAGAAAAACCAAAGCCTTCATAAGCAAAATGTTCTTCAGTTGAATCAAACTAAACTGAAGTCAGTTTTTGGATCAAAGGAAAAGCATTTAAAGGTTCGCACCCAGCTCCTGTTAATCCAGCTAGAAAGCAGCAGCTGGCCTTATATCACCTGAAGAACATCTGCAGGATTAAAATACTAAAGGGGATTGTTTAAGGATTTAGAGCAGAGGTCTTTAACAGGGTGTCCGCAACCACTAGAGGGTCCATGGAGGTACTGCATGGGGGTGGCGAAGGTTTTTGATGATTAGACTTATTTTTTATTTTTTTTTTATTCCCCCATGCATTTTTTTCCACTAATTGAAATGTCTTTAAATCCACATTAACATGAATTCAACACATTGTAGTAAACAGATAAATGGAGGCAGAAGATGTCTTTCAGTCATCAATGCACACATTCAGCGACACACAGGAGCTCTTTCAAGCTGCGCACCGTTTCATTCACAACACCTGTACCATCAACCAGTTTGATAGAACACAATTTTACACAATAAATATAATTAGGGGGTCCCATCTCACCATCAGTTTGGGGGTCCTTGGCCTGGAAGATGTTGAAGACCTCTGATTTAGAGGGTAACCAGTTAAAACCAGTTAACCAGTTTGAACTGAGAATAAAACTGTTTGGTTTTTACTACAATAAAAAAATACATAAAAGTTTATTCCTCTTCTTGTTCACATAGTCGACATTTGTCTACAGGGAGTTTAAATTTGGAGCTTATGAGTTGTTTGGAAGGGTAAATGTCATTTAAAGTTTTGAAATGAACCTCTTTATATCTAGGTGGAATAGCTATAGATATTTGACTCTCAATGCACAGATATAATTTTTGGAGTATTCTTTTAATAGGAAAAGCCTTTTAATTGGATTAAGAAATAGATACTTGTAGACACTTCTCTTGAAAATATATTTTTTTGCCTTTTTAGTCTATTATTTTGATTCCCTCACTAAAGTGATCAATGATTGTGGGATATAATTTATAATTTGTTCATATTCCTGGGATGTGAATTAGGCATTATATTTATTATTCAATTTCAATCCAATTCAGTTTATTTCTATAGCGCCAATTCAAGACACATGTCATCTCAAGGCACTTTACAGTTCAACCAGATCATCCAGTCAGATTGATTCAAAGTTTTCTATGTACTTGAAGTCACTCCCTCACTCCAAGCATGCTTGTAGCGACAGTGGAGAGGACAAACTCCCTTTTAGCAGTAGGAAACCTCCAGCAGAACCAGGCTCAGTGTGAGCGGCCATCTGCCGAGGCCGACTGGGGTTCAAGGAGACAGAAGCAGAGATACAGAAAGCAGCTGTAAGAGGCGGCCCCATCCAGGAAACACACAGCCAGGCAGACGAGCTCCGAGCCAGCTCCCATGTCAGAGGATGAAGAGAGCACATCTAGCCAGTCACAGTCAGAGAAACAGGACTACACTGAAAAACAGGCCGATCTCCAACATCTATAAACAAAGGTGTTGATAGCAGCAGCACTGGTTTACCTGGTTAAATAAAGGGGGAAAAAATAAATTAGCTTTTTTCCTTCTCGATCAGGATAATACTGCCCCTGATAGAATCAGCTGTAACTGCAGGAAGGTGTTCTGTCTGGTCTTAAACTACACTGAAAAAATCCAAATCTAGATAAGTAAATTTTTCATTCGTTTTTTTACATTTGTTCTTGGATCGAGGAGATAAGAGACATTTTGCCAATGGCACAAGACAACACATTTCAAATTAGAAAACACAATTGCATTGTCTTATTTCAAGAGCATATTATCTAATTATCTTATTTTAAGAGTAAAAATACTCAGTTCATTGGCAAAGTATCTCATTTACCTACTCAAATTAAGGGTAAAGACGCTTAATTTAAGAAGTGTTTTACTATTTCTAGATTTCTAGTTTTTCCAGTGTGTGGTAGAACATGGGCCATGTGTGAGTTCTCTCACTTCCTACTGATTGTGGATCAAACCAGAAATGTGATTCAGTATCTGCAAAACACAACAATGATTTTCCATCTAATGAGGAACATGATGTTGTTTGTTTTTCTTTCCTCTATAATATGTGACATTATTGTGATGCATTTAAGGACAAAATAAAATCCATGCGTTTAAGAACTGAAACAATCTGACAAAAGTCATAAAAATTGGATCTTCCTCATGTGGAACATCTGCTGTTTGCCAGATTTTCAGCTTGGAGTTCTTTGGAACTGAAATCCTGTTTGGTTTGTTTGGCTTTCTTAGACGATGTTATCTTTGGGCTTTTTCATATTTACGAAGAGCAAAGAAATGTAAACAACTTTGTGAGAAACTGCTGGCAACAAAAAGCCTAGAGATGGTTTTAGTCGAGTATCAGAGGCGGAAGAACTCTTCAGAAAGCCAGAGAGCAACAGATCAAGATCATTTTAGATGTTTACAGGAAGCTTGAAAGCAAATAGAAGCTGTTGCCCAGCCCTCGTTGATCCACTGGGACTAAACCGATCATATGAATCCAGTATTGCTGGCTTCCCCGCCTGCTCCCGGCCTGCTTGGATCAAGAGGACCTTCTGATCCAGGGTTGATTCACCTCTAGTCCACAATGAGAGAAATTCCTTTTATCTCCTGAGTCTGTTGTCCCTTAAACACCAGAGACTTGAAAAAGAAAACGGTTTAGAAACTGATGTATGAGTATCAGAAGGCTCAGGATGAAAACCTTTTTAGACTTAAAAGCCAGTCAGTCTCATCAGGAGAGCCTCTGCTCTCAGTCTGACCTGCAGTTTCTCATTCTGCTGCATTTGAGGTATTTAAAACTTAACCACAGTTGCTTAATTGTGTTTTATCATAGACCAATAGAACTGAAGCCTCATATAAAAACTGCAGCCCTGAATCCAAGCTGTTATGCTTCACTTAGCCTCAGTCAGCTGATTGTCAGCTTCAGCTCTGTTTCCTCTCTGAAATAATTCGACTGCTCATTTCTGTCCTTCACCTCCAAAAATAGTAACAATGACTTCCTCTTCAAATGGAGCTGCAGCGCCACCTGCTGGCAGAGCTACTTTTAGCAGAGACTCCACCTTCTTCTTGTAGTAGATCTTTATGACAAACTTCTGGCTTTGGCAGAAATGGACCCAACAAAAAAAAAAATATAATATGCAAAAATCTGAAAATGACAGAAAATCTTCAAATGGAAAAAAGCAAAAAATATGTTAAACTTTTTAGTCTGACGACTGCAGATGGTCTTTTGATGCTTTGCTTAGCAAAGCTGTTCATGAGCTACGGCAATCTGTTATCAAAGAGACTAATGTCTGGTAAACAAAGCCTTGTTCTTTTTGTTGAGGAAATCAGTTATCTAAAAAAGTGATCTAAAAACTGAAAATAGATATGTTAAAATAAACCAAAGGTTGCAGGTGGAAACTTAGTGAAAAAGTCTGGAAAAGCAAGACTTTCTAAGAGTTTATTGGTTTTAATGCTAGGTTTGGTCACAAAGAGGACCTCTTTTTTTTTCTTGTTTTTTTTCTCCCAAGTTGAAGAATATTTTTAGCTGTCCAGCTTCCTGCTGTCTGAACACAACAACCAGTTTAAATATCCCCGGCGACTTAGAATATATTTATATCTAAAAGTCACCTGCATAGTAGGTAAACCAGACCACTCTCAGAGTTTTCAGAATGCATTGAAGAAGGAGCTTAAATAGAGAAATAATACAGGCTGAAAGTAGAACCCTGAGGTACACCGTGAAGAACACCTGTAATTTGAAGCAGCTATAAAGAAAATGATAAGAAGGAAAATATACCATTTAATGAACATTTAATATGCTATCACAGTTATTGATTAAAACTATAAATTACAATATTATAGAAAGCTGAAAACTGAAAAGAAATACAATTATTAAATAAAGTCATGTTTTTTTTATTTCTTTCTAATGTTTTGTTCATTAGTTGTTTAAAAATCTAAGTCGGTCCAAGCCATTCACTGCTGCCTGTCTGTTATCTGACTAATGACTTCCTGTTCTGTATCTGTTTATCTCCCAGCTGTAATACACTCATTGGTTGTTTTTAGGGCCTAATCTTTTTTACATCGCAGTGTTACTGCCAGAGATGGGAAGTAAGGAAGTACAAATACTTCGTTACTGTACTCAAGTAGATTTTTCTGATATTTTTACTTTACTTTACTACTTATTTTTATGGCGACTTTTTACTTCTACTCCTTACGCTTTTACACAAATATTTGTAATTTCTACTCCTTACATTTTAAAAAATTGGCTCGTTACTTTAGTTTTGAATCATTTCAATGGAGTTACCGTTATTATTTTTCACGTCATCAATACCAAATTCAATCTAATTAGATGGGAATCTACGTTGCATTTGACGCACCACTACAAGATGAATCGACAGATTCGGCGGTATTCATTCGCAGGAAATCATTGCAGCTTGGTGGCGGTGGCGTTAGCATAGTAGTATGGACGACGAGATGATTGACAATGAACACAATGTAGATCTAGTCCTATTGGCAGACATCCATTTAAAATGTAGGCAACGGCATGAAAAAAGTGGTTTCTACTTTTACTTTTATACTTTAAGTAAATTTACAAGCCTGTACTTTGTTACTTTTACTTGAGTAAAGAAGTTTAATCAGTACTTCCACTTTTACCAGAGTATTTTTTAACACAAGTATCTGTACTTTTACTCAAGTATGGAAAGTGAGTACTTTTGCCATATCTGGTTACTGCTGCAGAGGTAGTGCAGATACTTTTGCCCAGATTCTCTCATCTGTTATTCTTTTTAGATTGCAGCAGGCGCAGGAGGAGCAGCACTACGTCAAGGTGGAGAAGGTAAAGGTAGAGGAGCAGCTCCGGAGCGAGATCGACTCAGCCAAGCAGGAAGCTCAGCGGCTCCGTGAGCTGCGAAAGGGTGCAGAGAATAAGCGGAGCAGGCAGAAATATCCTGAGCAGGAGCTGGAACAGGTAACACCCCTCTGCAGGTTAGGGTTAGCCATGTTCTAACCAGTAGCGGGCAGGTTCTAGCCAGTCGCGGGCAGGTTCTAGCCAGTCGCGGGCAGGTTCTAGCCAGTCGCGGGCAGGTTCTAACCAGTCGCGGGCAGGTTCTAACCAGTCGCGGGCAGGTTCTAACCAGTCGCGGGCAGGTTCTAACCAGTCGCGGGCAGGTTCTAACCAGTCGCGGGCCCGTTTTAACCAGTCGCGGGCCCGTTTTAACCAGTCGCGGGCCCGTTTTAACCAGTCGCGGGCCCGTTTTAACCAGTCGCGGGCCCGTTTTAACCAGTCGCGGGCCCGTTTTAACCAGTCGCGGGCCCGTTTTAACCAGTCGCGGGCCCGTTTTAACCAGTCGCGGGCCCGTTTTAACCAGTCGCGGGCCCGTTTTAACCAGTCGCGGGCAGGTTCTAAACAATTGCGGGCAGGTTCTAACCAGTCGCGGGCAGGTTCTAACCAGTCGCGGGCAGGTTCTAACCAGTCGCGGGCAGGTTCTAACCAGTCGCGGGCCCGTTCTAACCAGTCGCGGGCAGGTTCTAACCAGTAGCGGGCAGGTTCTAACCTGTCGCGGGCAGGTTCTAACCAGTCGCGGGCAGGTTCTAACCAGTCGCGGGCAGGTTCTAACCAGTCGCGGGCAGGTTCTAACCAGTCCCGGGCCCGTTTTAGCCAGTCGCGGGCAGGTTCTAACCCGTCGCGGGCCCGTTTTAACCAGTCGCGGCCATGTTCTAAACAATCGCGGCCATGTTCTAAACAATCGCGGCCATGTTTTAAACAATCGCGGGCAGGTTCTAGCCAGTCGCGGGCAGGTTCTAACCAGTCGCGGGCCCGTTTTAACCAGTCGCGGCCATGTTCTACACAATCGCGGGCAGGTTCTAAAAAGTTGCGGGCAGGTTCTAACCAGTCGCGGGCCGGTTCTAACCAGTCGCCGTCCGGTTCTAACCAGTCGCCGTCCGGTTCTAACCAGTCGCGGGCCGGTTCTAACCAGTCGCCGTCCGGTTCTAACCAGTCGCCGTCCGGTTCTAACCAGTCGCCGTCCGGTTCTAACCAGTCGAGGCCATGTTCTAACCAGTCGCGGGCAGGTTCTTACCAGTCGCGGGCAGGTTCTAACCAGTCGCGGGCAGGTTCTAACCAGTCGCGGGCAGGTTCTAACCAGTCGCGGGCAGGTTCTAACCAGTCCCGGGCCCGTTTTAACCAGTCCCGGGCCAGTTCTTAACAATCGCGGGCAGGTTCTAAGCATGCGCGGGCCTGTTCTAACCAGTCGAGGCCATGTTCTAACCAGTCTGATCAGTTGCGCGCCCGTTTTGACCAGTCGCTGGCAGGTTCTGACCAGTCATAGGGAGGTTATAAGTAATCATTGGCAGGCTTTAGGTAGACTTACACTGGTCAATCATTAGTTCTCGGTAAGACGATTTTCATATCATCGGCCATAACTGTTAACCGGCCATTTATTATGAAGACAGCCCATTTCAAGGAGGGGTAATTGTTTTGTGAGCGGACAGGCATATTTCCCCTGCACATGTTTGTTTTAGTCAGAGTGCCATAATTTTTTTATTTAGCTTCATATAACAATTATGCAGTAAACCATTTGAAAACAAATACAGAAAAGTAAAGGGTTTGTGTATGAAAAATAAAGTATGTTACCACGGTGACTAGCCTTGCTCCGAATGAATCCACCTTTGTGGCACTGGAAAGTCCGGGTTAACCTGAAGTTATCTCGGTGCCAGTAATCCTGCTTCATGGTTAAAACCTCGGGTTAATGTTCTCCTACATATCAATCCTACATAACAAAGGCAATTAAACACAATGTACTTTTAATTTTCACTTTACAATTGGAAAGGGTCATCTTTACCTGAGCACATAAAGGCAGCATAAGGAAAAACAGCAGTAGATCGTAGGAGCCCGAAGGGCAGACATTGTGGCAGAGAAAGGGGAGATAAGGCAACTCAAGAGGAGCACAGTGGTAGATCGGAGTAGAGCAAGGGAAACAGCACCAGGGCAGAGAGAGGCTATGACTGACCGAGGCCAACTAGGCTAATTATGGAAAATCCTTGGTGCACAGTTGAAGATCGGATAAACCTGCCGGGCATACAGAATGCTGAGGGTGGGCGAAAGGCTGCTGCTGTTGGCTTGCAGTAGGACTGTTGAGTGGCCTGCCAGGGAGAATCAGCAGAGGGAGTCTGGCCGAGGCTAACTGCTGAAGGCGAAAGAATGACAGTGGGGGATCAGAGAACGTTGCTAGTCAGACTTGGAGGTGAGGCATTGAGAAAAGGTGACTACTTATCGATGTTTGCGGTGGAGGTAGGATGATGAAACAGTTAAAACGGCTTTTTTTAAAAGAACCTTACAAACCTCTTCAGAGCATTCCCCACTTCATCCTTTGTCAGCATAATTTTCTTCCATTTTTAAAAATTAAAATCTTGTCTGCTCTGCCTCCTCCACTAAAATGGTGGTTAATTCATGATACTTTATCATCTCTTATAATTTGATACCCAATACCTACCTAGGAGAGAGCAGTTGAAGAATATATAGGTTTGATGCTATGAACAGTCATTGACAATCCACTCCCAAAACAGACACCAGTGCATGTCTAGTTCTAACATATGAGCAGGTTCTAACCAATGAGTGGGCAGGTTTCAAATGGTGCTTTGCTGATCCTTACTGCTCTGTCTTCTGCAGGTCCGTATGGCGCTGAAGAATGCTGAGAGGGAGCTTGAGTCACAGGCTCGCTGGACGCCACCAGACGCTCTGCAGAAGTGGCTGCAGCTGACGCATGAAGTAGAAGTTCAGTACTACAACAGCAAGAAACAGAGCGCAGAGAAGCAGCTGCTGCAGGCCAGAGATGGGGTGAGGATCCTAAATAAACTTTGAGGTCTCATTTCTCAGGCTTTCCCTCACAATGAACAGAACCATCAGAGTTTTAAAGTGTTCTGAATGAAAGAAAGGAGAGCTGAAGAAGGGTTGAGCCAGACCACCTTAAAGGATGAGTCTCTTTAGGGAAATCAGTGATGACGAAAATGTTTGCAGATGACTCTTTGCTCACACTGATGCTGTTCCAGGCAGAGAAGATCAAGAAGAAGAGAAGTTCTCTGTTTGGAACGTTCCACGTGGCTCACAGTTCTTCACTGGATGACGTCGACCATAAAATCCTCTCAGCCAAGTAAGTCATCATCTCGCTAAGGAACCCATAGCTAGGAGTTCGTCTGGTCCTGCTGTTTGGTTTTAGGCCTTTAGAACCGGACTGCAACCTACAGAGTCTGTGTTCTCTAATGCTGTCTGCCCCCACCCCAGACAGGCCCTGGCTGAAGTAACAGCAGCCCTGCGGGAGAAACTCCACCGCTGGCAGCAAATCGAGTCTCTGACGGGTTTCTGCGTGGTCAATAATCCGGGTCTGGGAGCTCTGGCTGCTGCCCTCAACCTTGACCCCTCCTTCCTGGGCCTGAGACCCCCGACTCCTCAGAACCTGCTCCTTTCAGATGACCTGGACGACATGGACGAAGACATCTTGTCTCCCGGGACGCTGCAGTGTAAGTTTGGATCCGGTCCCTTCCTCAGGAACAATCTGATCTAGAGCATCTGTTATTCTTCATTTTTGCTCTTCTCTCTTGATTGGCCGCTTCAGACGCAGCCTGGCAAATGGATCGGCGTGTAAGCGACCTTTGGCCTCTAAGCGGCATCGCGGATACCCAGTTACCATGGAAACCATCAGGTATCCTGTTCCCATCCTATGATTTTGGTCAACTTTTTGATATTTGACTTTGAACTTTTGATAAATTCCTTTAAAATAAAAGCAACAATTCAGTGTGGCTTTCATCCTGTTTACTGCAGCTCACGCGCCCCTGAGACAGAGGGCAGGAGACCCCGGGTTAACGTTTGGCTCCCAAAGGTTAGTGGATGGAGGGAGGGATGGATGGATGATTGATGAACGGTGGACGGATAATGGATGGATGTTGGTTCCAATAACTTGTTCATGCAGCTGTTGTAAAATTCTGGGCAACTGTCTCAGTCTGAAGGTTCTGGTCTGTTCCTACACTGGAAAATATCAATATTAAGATAAGTCATTTTTTCTTAAGATAAGTGCATTTGTTCTCGAATTGAGGAGGTAAAAGATACATTTTGCCAATGGATTAAGACAGTTACACTTAAAATAAGAAAACATAATTGTATTGTTTTATTTAAAATACATATTATCTAATTATCTTGTTTTAAGAGTAATAACACTCAGTTCATTGGCAAAATATCTCATTTACCTACTCAAATTAATGGTAAAGATTAATTAAGTTTTACTAATTTCTTGATCGTTTTTCCAGTGTAGTGGTCCGGTCTCTCATTGACCCTCAGGGTTCTGATAACTTAGGATGTAATGAAGACTCTGGATTCAGGTTCTGATCTTCGTCTCCTCTTCCTTTCAGGGACGTCATGAGCCGATCCGACTCTGACTCCACCCTCCCACTGTCTCTTAACGAATCACAAGCTCTGAACAACTCCAGGCCGTATCTTCTGGACTCCAGACCCCACCCCTTGAAGGGTGGAAGCTCCGCCCACAGACTGGGAGGAGGAGGTCTAGAGAAGAGCTCCAGCCTGGGAGAGCTGAGAGGAAACTCCTCCACAGTCCTCGCCTCGTCCTGCTCTACACACTCCCTCTTCATCACCTCAGAAGCTCCGGCCGGTTCCATCATCTTCTCTTCATCCGCCTCGTCCAGCTCGTCTGGCAGTGGACAAGGAGCCAGCATCCAGCTGTCCGCCATGAAGAGAGACAGAGGAGACTCTCAGGAACCGTCGGTCAGCCGGAGGAAGAAAGCTTTTTATACCATTTTCAGGAGAAAGAAAGACAGTCCTGAAGCTTTGAGCCAGACATGATCCTCCTGATGGGTCAAGATGAAGCATCATGTAGGCTCCTCCTGCAGGCATGCTGAGAGGTACGGAGAGAGGGAGTTAAAACTGAACTTTAAACACATCAGTGAAAAGCTCCAAAACAAGAACTAAAGAGGTGAAAAAAGAAAAAGCTTTTCTGTCTGTCAAATAATTAAGACAATAAAGCACAAAAAAACAAATATTCTCCCTTTTTTTCCTCATCAATTCTTTTGTTTGCAGCAAAGAATATTTTAAAGAATAAAAATATTTATTCCATACAGTTTGTCTGGTATTTTCCACCTTTTTTTTTTCTTTATCAGATGGAAAACCTGAACATCAGGATGTTTTAGTGTAAGTGTCCCCCTGTAGCTGCAGGTAACGTGTTTCTATGCAGGTGATTACAGAGTTATTACACTTGGAGTTTAAGGTAACATAAATGCATCATTTCTGCTGATGGCAACATCCTCCTCCAGCTCTGACAGCAGGTAGCTGCACTGAGCCACAGACCCTCACCTCCAGATTTGAGCACAGGATTCATATAATTGTAAGACCAGTTGCTTTAATTTGACAATAAATCTGATTGGACCCTCAGACTACGGTGACCAGACGTCCCCAATTTCCGGGGACAGTCTCCGTTTTGGACCACCTGTCCCTGGAAATGTCCCACATTTTACAGTTTTATGAATGAGGGAAAATGTTGTGTAGATTATTATGATAGAAAGGGCGATTGAGCATGCTGCAGGCAGAAACAGCTGTTAGCTAGCTGGTTGGCAGCTATTAACGTATTAATGAGGAGCAGAGTGCACCAATTTTAAAAAAGGAAGAAGTGAAACTTCGTCTTCACAAGCTGATGGGGAGCTGCAATGTGTTATGGTGAAGGTGTTAATTGGTTCATTTGATTTGGATTAGGCTGATCATTGAGATAAATGTTTGGTTCGTTCCCAGATTAATTTAGCTTTGACGTGTTTTGTTTTACTAAAGAGGAGGACCTAAAATGTGACATAAACCAAGCTAATCAACAAAAAGTAAGACAGACCCTTAGCTGCAGCTGGAATGAATAAATAGACTTAAATAAAATTAAACAGAATATCTGAAAACTCCGTAAGGCTCTAATCTGGTTCATTGGTTCTCCAGGTTGTTCGCCTAAAGATATTCGTAAAACTGATCGGTGAACTTATGTAGGGAAGCCGAGAGCAGTTGTGTCCCTCCGATATTTTTTCATGGTGGTTTTCTCAAGAAAACACGATAATTTCCCTCATTAACTAAAGATAACGAAAAACTGTTTTCTCATGATAACGACATGATAATTTTCTCATTAAAAAAACGCTTTCTCGGTTTTTGCTTCCACTTCTGATTTATAAGCAATTAGACCTATGCCTCCAGCACCTTAGTGTCGGGTGTTACGCCTGTAACAGGTTTGATGCATTAACCCCCAAAATGAGTCCAGATTAAAGATTTTAATTTCTACTGTATTCCATGCAATCCAGTTCTCCACCATGACCTGAAAATGAGTCAAAAGAGAAAGGAAACTAAAAAAAATTATCATTTGTGCACACTGGTACCATGATAATGAGATAGATATGTCATTCCTTGAGAAGGCAAATGGAGGGAAAAAAAAGTCGAGTACGACCGGTCTGGGCTTCCCTACATTAGTTAATATCTTCAGATAGTTCATTATTGTATGTAGAGTTATATGTTGTCTTGCTATTTTATGGTTGTGATTTATAAGCATAGACTTCAGGATTAAGTCTACTTTTCTACCACTCAGTTTGGATATATTAAAAGTTCGTTAAATTAAAGAATAAGAGGGAGTATAAGTAAAACTGAATGAGACAAGAGCTTCATGATCTGTACTAGCCGTACCATCAGCTCATTTGTGCATACGCAAGCAGATATTCATCCACATCACCATAAATAACTTAATTATGGTACTAAATGTATTTCTATCCTTAAATCGCTAATGAATGCTAATACAAATTTTAAAAATTGGCTCTTCACAATCACTATTGAAGATTTTTCCCATGGATAAACCTCACACCCACAAGCGCACAAGTTTTATCTTCAGCTTCCATCAGTACTCGAGTTGAGGGGGGGTGAGGGGGGATGGCATTCCCCTTCTAAAAAAAATCTTAAAAATCATCCCCCTTCTCAAATGACCATCCCCCCCATACCATCCCCTGTGACATTTTATCACTAAATGTGTAATTTTCCACTTCATATTAACAGTAGTGGCAATAATATTTCCCCTTCAACATTTGGCGGGCTGTGGGTTTATGAGTAGCATGAGCAAAATAAAAAAATAAAAAATCAGAGAAGTGTCCTACCATGACTATGAAGCTGATCCCAGCGGGAAATGAGTCCCTAACTATGTAGGGGCAGTGATAGCCATGCCAGTCCAGGGACTGACTGCAGCTCTACTGTAAGGTGCCTTGGTCAAGGTCAATGACCTGACATGTAACAACTATACCATGCATAATGCTTTAGGTTAATAAAATATACTAATTAGGATATGTATGCTTCCAAAAATAAAAATCCACCATCCCCCTTTTTTTTCTTACAACTAGACTACTGGCTACCACTGTATATATTTGGTATTCATTAATACTGTATATAGTTCAGTGATGGTATCAAGCTGTATTGTATCTGTAATTCTATATCAGTTGGTTGTGCTGTTTTGCAGGTAATGAAGCAGACTAATGAAGGTCCGTTAATGTCTTTCTTCTGTCTCATCTTTCTTTCACCTTTTCTCCTGTTTTTTTCTTCTTCTCATTTCTCTCTCCTACTTTTTCTTAATATAGTGTGCACATAACCTGAATTATTCCCTACATAAATCATAATAAAACAATTTAGATATATAAATCAAGCGGAGCACTATAGCAAAAGCGATGATGCTCCACTTGTGAGAATAAAATTTTGTGGGCTTTTTCTAGCATTAAGATGGCAATTCTTATTGCCACAAGGCCAGACAGGATACTAATAAAGAAAAAAATTAATAAATAAAAACAATGCAAACAACAATAGACCATAAAAAGAGTCTCGGATTCCTTATTATATAAATTTCAAATCCACATTGAAGCAGCAGAAAACAGTGATTGCAAAATATTTGCTAAATATTTAGTTTGCAAACTAAATATTTAGTGATCCTACATGTTTAGCTAATAAAATAGAAATTTAATTTTGACAAATAAATATTAAGCTGGATTTAAAACTATTTAGCCGGCAATACAAATATTGATATTGGAACTATAAATGTGTGAATTACCTGGTAAAAATCTGACTTGGAAAAACATACCAAATTTTTTTTTGTGGTATCGTGATAAATAACTAAAAATATTGCTCTTCGTTTTTGATTACTTAACTTTACAAACAGCACGCCATAAACGTTTGACACTCAATCTCCACTTTAATTCATTCTAAACCTTTTTATTCAAGTCATTATGAATCGTGATTCTCATCTGGAGCTCGGTGTTGTTTGGAGATGAAGGAACCGTCAGCTGCTCCAGACTTCAGTGACGTGATCTGCCCCAATCACATCTGATGCTTTACAAACTTTAAGATGTGTCGGTTAGATCAAGCTGCTCTGCAATGTAACCTCACGAAATATGGCGTAAATATTGTTAAGCAGAGACAGCAGTTGCTTACGGGCCCACAACCTCGTAGGGGCCCTATCACTGACACCTGGTAGGGCCCCAACGCAATTGTTGACTAGCAATTGTTGACTGACGTCTCTTTGCAGATGTAATGATGTGAAAAACCCACCTAATACTAAAGTGACTGAGCGCACCAGACCGTATTTATACCGCAACACATGCCAGATTTCAACATGATGGTGAGCCGTTTAAACACAACACCAATAGCAAAGCAGGTAGTGGTACTTTTAGTTACAATATTAATAACTGTGTATAGTTCATTAGACGGTTGGTTAAAAAAATAAACTCATGTAATACTGTATGTTTTAAACTGCAATAAAGATCTTAAAAGAACGATGTATTAGAGTATTTTATTTTTTACACTACGATTAGGAATTATGGGTAACCCAGACCATAGATTAAGACCATAACCATTACGTACAATGTGTTTGTGATGATGGATATCAAAAAGAGGTACTTAAGCAGATTCCAGAAAAGAAAAAGCAAAGAAGAGCTGCTGGAAGAACGGAATAAACTTCCCAAAATAAACACATTCTTTCAAAGAACGGAAGAGGGAGAGGTGGACGTTGCTGCTACAGTGAGTAAAGATTGCAACCAGGAGACTAATGGAGAGAGCGTGGGTGAGGAGGGGGGCTGTGAACCTGAAGTTAGCCCGATAAGACTCATTTTACAGCAGAATATACTAAAATATATCCATGTCTAATGAAGGTGAAGAATAAAGTGCGTAGTTATGGGGCACTGCGGCACGTTTCGGGTCATTTGTCTATGCCGGGGGGGTGGGTTTGGTCGATAAGCACTTGGGATGTCTGTAACAAGTGGTGGTGCGCTGTCACCAATGTTTCCATTTAAGGTGTGCAGTCACTATTTTTAAATGTGTGATCATATACTACTGAGAATTGCATAATTGTTTCTTCTTGGCCGATTTATGGAACTGTCACCCTATCCTGAACCTTTATCATGCGTTGTACTTCATATGGGGCCTACCCAGATAATGTAGCTTCTGGCCTATTGTTGTGCCATTATGCCATTGCTCATGGAGCGCATTAAACAATGTTCTATAACTAATCTGAGGCAACATGAAATTTGACAGACCACAGTAACTGACTGCAGGAACTACAGAACATCTATACACTGTGGGTCTCAGCACCTGCCAGTTCCGCTACATCAGTTTACCAGGCCTACCGATTCCAGGCGAATGTACCAGCATTCCAAATTGAATCCTCTGTATTATACACCACTGACACCATATCTGATCTACAAGAAATTGAAATCTTCTGCTGACACTGAATATGTTCTACTGACACTCTACGTCTTCTACTTACACTGAAAATGTTCTATGCGTTCTACTGACACTAGACAACTTCTACTGACACTGAACTTGTTCTAATACTGGACATCTTCTACTGACACTGGACATGTTCTCCTGAAAATGGACATCTTCTGCTGACACTGGACATGATCTACTGACACTGGACAACTTCTACTGACAATGAACATATTCTACTGATACTGGACATATACTACCTACAGTGAAGATTTCTACTGACACT